CCCCGACTAGCCACAGTGCTCATTTTCCACATCACCGCTTCACTGGGGCTCCACAACTCCACCCCCTCACTGGGGCCGCTCTCTTACTGGGGGTCTTCATTTCCACCTGCTCACTGGAGCTATGGGGCTTCCCTCCCCTGTGGGCTCAGGTGGCCATAGCCATGCCTGGCCCCAACTACCTCTCCTCGGGGTCTTGCACCCCACAGGGCTCAGGTGGCTGCAGCATCCTCCTCTGATGATATTCCCCTCGCACACACCACAACTGGTGCTCCAAGGTCTCACAGGGACTCTCACTCCCCCACTGGAGCAGCAGGTCATTGTGCTTCGCAATTGCTATTATTTTCAACCCACACAAAAGGTGAGGGATGGGGTTAAGGCACCCCCTACTTGCCTTTCACCAGGGTGGTCACTGACCTGGCATTTCCTGGGAGCTCCCACACCACTGAGAGCCCCACCAGGCCACCCACTCCCAGCAGGGTGCAGTTTTAGGTCATGCCCAGGACCAGAAGTCTCCAAGCCATCCCCTACAGCTCCTGCCCTTACCTCCAAGATAATACCAGCAGCCTTACAACCAGGCAATATTGCTGCCTCTCCTACCAGCAGGGAACTGATCAGGTTATAAAGGCAGCTAGGGATCTAAAATGGCTGCTGTAATCAGGCACCTGCTGGCAGCTTGGCTCAGGCCCTTAAAGTGGGAGGCACCTACAGTGCCCCGCCACCATAAGCACCTGAATAATTTGTAGCAATGTACCTTATACTTCACAAGAAATACATGGACAGTGAGATCAATCAACCAACCATGCAGTGTACATCAGACAGGCAGTAAGACACAGAAGGTCTGTCTGCACTTGGAACTTCAATAGACTGATAGAAAACGGTGTAGTTAAGTGTTGCCAGAATTGTATGTTCTTACAAACTGCATTTTCATGTTCACACATAACTTTCCCTCTCTGCATCAGAGTACCACATGTCAAACCACCCTCCGCATAATTCAGTTGTGATTGTTTCTACAGACCAGTATTTCTTGAAAGTAGCAAATTGTTGCAGAACCTGAATAGTATTTTGCAAACAGGAACTCAGGCCCTTAGCAAGTGTAATTCAGTGCTGTTTCATTGAAACCAGTGGAGGCCTGCAGATTTTCATTCTTTTATAAGCTGACCAATTGTACCACTCTTTTTAATACCTTCCAAGATGAATGTGTCAGTAGGGACAACCTAACTCAGTCAAGTTTCCTGAAGAGCCACAACTAAGTTAGATACTTGAGGATAGCATGCAAATACAATGAAAATATATCAATCACTAGGCCTACACAGATCTTTCCTTGGTTTGTGCAACCACAGCACTGTTTTGCTTTGTGCCTTCTTGAATAGTTATTTTCTATTCCCTACCCTAATTCCAACCCTTTACAGAGTTGTAAGATTCTGAACTGCTATAGAATCTCCATAGCACATCAGAGTTCTAAGACTGCTGTCCAGTTACAAGCACTGGTGTTTTTCCCTCCCCAGTGTGGTACATATGTTGAAGGTAGTTATACCAGTGAAATGCAGGGTATCTTTAATGCACTGAACTAAGATCAAACACTGGGCCTATGTGTTTTAATATTTAAGTGTCAACCCAGAGAATCTGGATCTGAGTATATTTCAAATGACAGTATGCACTCACATGCTATCATCACTTTAAAGCTGCATCATGCTCATAAAATCTTGTACATGCTCTTTTTTTGTGATCAGCACCTCTTATCCCACCCCTCTAAGGAAAACATTGCACATTGAAACCTCTGTATTGCTTTGAAAAAGCTACTTCAAAGGACTGGATGATGACCATGGGACAAATCTACCTTCATTTAAACCTACAAATTTCTACTGAGGACAGTGACAGTTTCTTAGTGTGAATGAGTGCAGAATTTGGTCTCTAATACATGTTTTCTCTTCAGATTGCCATTCTCTTCAGCAGCCGCCACTATGAGTATGTATATGCCTATTGAAAGGGGATGCTGCTATATTTAAATTTAGAGCACAGATGAGGATGATCAAGAAAGATTGATGGTTGCCTACTACAAATTAGGATATATCAGAGTAATGGTTGCCATTAAACAAAACACATGGCCAAATTTCTGCCTCTAATTAGACAGGCTCAAACCCCACTAAAAAGCTATGAGCAACACAGGTGTAGAAGTTGGTTCAGTATGTGATTTTTGTGCCTAGGATGTAATACTTTAGCAGATAAGGAAAGCAATTTTAATTTCTAATTTTCTTGCTTTTCTTCATTAGCATTCCAGCTTTCATAATACAAACTTTTATTTTTAGTTACCTATCTATATACATATTTTAGTTACGTATATATTTCTTACTGTTTGATCTACCATTGTTTTTTTGTTAGTTTTTATGCTCTACCCAGTTATAGTTAAATACAAACATACATGCATGGAATACAACAAAGGACAGAAGTCACTAATGAAATTAAAATGGCTTTGGATTCAGAAAGGAAAGTATAACAAATGCATCCAAACAACTAACTAGACAAAATGTGCTGAGCCATCTGCTGTACAGTCCTGGGTATACCATTTTCATAGTGGATGTGATAAAAATGAGAAATAGCTTTAAAATGGGCACTTGAAGAAACCAGATACCAAATTAAATGACAGGATTCCTGTTTGCACGTCCATCTGCAACTCAGTTACGGGGGTTTTTTTGTTAGTTCCTCTTACCTTATTTCCCAAGGTTGTAGAGCAGATCCTCGGCTGATATAAATAATCACAGCTCTACAGTAGACCTATGATAATTTACAGCAATTGAACCCCTGCCCCAAATTATTAAAAAGTATGCTATTTTTTTGGACTTATACAATGAATAGTAGTGGAAAATGCATTTAGTAACTAAATTGCTATCCAGCAGTTGCATCTAAATTCTAAGTGATTACACACAAGCAGATCCAGCCTTTTTTCTTATATGAAAAGGCAAACCTATAGTAGTAGTAGCAGCATAAGAAAGGTAATATCATTACTTACAGTATTGCTGCACTAGAAAAATAGTGAATTCACTCCGTAGTTTTCTGCTATCCTTGCATGCTAGCCTGATCCTAGAAGAGGCCACAAATCCCCAGTCTGGGATTTACCTGTGACTATCAGGAATGTCTGACCCAAGTAAAAATGTTCCAGGCTATAGTACACCATTACACTAAGAGACAGTTTTTGGATCCTGAAGGATTTTTGCAGGATTCTATCAGAACAGCATCTGTGCTATTCAAAGTGCATATAAAGGCCAATGAAGTAGATGTCCAAAACATGAGCACACCAACCAAAAGGACAGCCCATTAGCCAATTTGGATCAAGTGATGTGAAAATTCTTTTCTTTCTGTTACTCATAAGCATAGTTAGCTAATCACTTCCACAGACTTTTCAGCAAGTTATCAGATAAATCTCGAAGAGGAGGTTTGCACCTCCTCAGTATGGATACTAGCATTCTTTTTACAAAGGTTTATCGCTTTGTGTTTAGGTATATATTAATATAGAGAAAGAGAGGTACATGAAAACATACGGTACGTGTAGAATATATAAGAGCTTTCATTGTTATGATACATGTACTGTACCTCCACCAGGGAGCAATGAAAGCTTCCTTCCACAAACACAAAAGCCTTATGGCATCTGGCCTCATATCTTCAAAGTAAATATCTTGTTCAGCAGTAGCTAATGCATCAGATGAATAAATCTTCAGCCTTTGTTATCCGTTCCTTTCCTTTATAAAAAGGGTTATGGATCCATTGCTAATTGTCAGGGTAAACTCCATTTCCATTATTCTAATTTTTTTATTCATGAAAATCAGCGCTTCCCACTAGATGGAGATAGGACACAAGATCACTTTGTCCTCCAGAAGGACACTGATGATCAGGAAGACGAAATAGAGTGCGAACATGAGCAAACCTAGGATTTTATTCATCCTCCACTTGCAGAAAGCAATAGAGAGAATAACAAAGATCAGCATGATGAAGAGGAGGACGATAGCACAGAACAAGCCATTGCTGCTAACAGTCACTGGAGCAAATTGGTTAATTATAGCATATATGAGCCATGGAAAAGGAAGTCTGTTGAGAAACAGAAAAAAAGAAATTGGAAATGCTGTAGAGAAGCTGAAAATCTTAATGGAAATGCTCTGAAGACATTTCAAAACAAAGCCATTGATTTACACACAATGAAGCCCAGCTGACTGACTAGTACAGGACCCAATAAGTAGACATTTGATAACATTAAAAAGAACAATTCTGTACTTGGCCCTGAGAGATGACTTGATCAGACAGTGTGACTATGCTGACACTTCCTCTTCAAGAGGAGGTCAAGCTATGGAAAATCTGTCCTAACATAAAAAGTAGAGGGGAAAAACACCGTCTTGACTGAGGAATGTGGGCACTACCATAAAATAATAATAATAATAATAATTTTTATGCCATCATCAGGAGGTATGGAGCAGCTGAGAAGGAAGGTCATACATATAAGGGAGCTCTCCACCTCTCAAGTAGCCCTAGGTTTTCTCACCCTTCTCTCACTTTCCTATCTTTCTCTGTCATCACTCCCCACTACAGGGTGTTCGCAGAGTGAGACACCAGGCTCACTTTATATATAAGCAATCACATTATTTTGAAGAGGGTATGAGGATGGAAAGATCCAGGGGACTCACTCTTCACAGTCAGTGAGGGTTTCCTGCCATGGGGGTCCAACAGCTTTCAGCTAGTAGATCAGGTCCTGACTGCATGGCTTCTTTAATTTATTCCTGGAGTTTCAACTACACAACCCTATCCCCCTACATCTTCCCTTGAAGGCAATATCAGATCTAGACTGGCAAGAGGAAGAACCTGTAATGCCAGTGAGTGTTCTAGGGTTGTGACCTTCCCACACATCAGTGGTAGTTTTTGAGTCAATTCAACCTGGATAGAGTGAGAAAGCTGCTACCCTCAAGGTTTGGCCCTTAAAACTTCTGGATTCACAGTGAGACTGGAAACCTATGCAAAAACGGTTTGAACTTTGTCCGAACTAATGCTTAATTTCTGTTCACTGTTACTGAATTTCCAACTGTGATACTAAAACATCAGACAACATTACTCTGGAAGATGTCAAGTAAAAGTGAATATTTAAAGCACTGGATTGGGGCTTAGCAGAGCTTTGAACATGTATCAAATGAGACTAATCTGAAGCTCACATCATGTCACTGTTATGTCTCTAAATAACCCAATTAAATGGGAATAATTCATTGCAGCTTCAGTATTAACCATATGATAAATGGAGCTGGATTCTCCTGTTTTCATGCATACAGCATTGCTTATGGCATATACTACAAGGGAGTCCACATTCCCAGAAACAGGAAAGTGAAAAACGTAAGGAAGAAAATAAATGGTGATATCTGAGTATTACAAAAAGGAGACTTTATGCAACATGATCATTGCTTATGCTACAAAGAATGTTCTAATTGACACACTTGGGATCTTAAACTTTTCATGATATTTCTTACTATTTGAAATTTAAACACAAAACATGTGGGTGGATTCACCACATAATTGAGGCCTTGATTCTTGGCCATTCCCAGGCATTGGATATAGCTAAGAGGTGATGGTTTGGAACAACTCTTTGTACCTCTGCCCTGCGGTCTGCACTAGCCTGATACGAGCATTGCTCCACATAACTGGCTGCAGGTGGCCTGCAGAGGGCTGCTGTAGGAGCTGTGGATTGCTGGGGAGTTTCTATCCTGAGTGTCAGGATGTGAAGCTGCCCCTATATAACCCAGGGATTCTCCCATAACAAGGGGATACTCCAACAGTATAATGTGCTGGGTTTAAATCTGCCTTATGTGTCAGGATCTCACAAAAACCACAGTTAAGTTGACAATGAATAGTCAAAAGGATTCTCAGTAATTCTGGCAAAATCCTTGACATGCCAGAAGGTGCATATGAAGTAGCACAGCAATATCTTATTGATCCATACTGAAAGCAGAAATTGATGCTACACATGCCCTTATCTGGAGATAAGGGGCTGAGAAATATACATTTCTCTAGGCTGACTATACCTTACTCCAAATGCTTAGTGGGATATATTGGTGTAAGATCATTCCTATGGGTAAGTAGGTTTTCTTAAACTGGATGAGCAGGAACTAATTAGGGCCAACAATATCACAAATCATCATGGGTTTTTGTAGCTTAGATATCCCCCTCTTTCTGAAGTACTTACCCCACTGTGATGTCAAATATGTTGCTGCCAACAGAGCTGGATACTGCCATATCCCCAAGACCCTTCCGTGCTACAATCACACTGGTAATTAAGTCAGGGATAGAGGTGCCAGCTGCTAAAATGGTCAATCCCATGATTTCTTCACTAATGCCAATGGTCTCTCCAACCTAAGGGTTATTAAGAGAAATAAGAGACAGAAGAATATATTGATATCAGGGAAAGAATGGACATTCTTGGCTGTAAACTCATTTAAAATGGAAACTGGCTAGGGGCAAGCTCCAGCTTTGATCTAGGGTAGGACTCCAATGGAAGGGAGCAGAGTACACTCTCATGTGTGCAACTAGTTACTTACTTCAGCCATGTCCAGACGAGCACAGCTGTGTGGTATGTGACACCGCACATTCAGCTGTTTTCCATGCTGCAAGGGAGCAGCACGGGGGAGTTTTTTGACCCCTGAATATCCAGATAAGGGGGACCTAGTGCTGGCCCCAGCCTCCCCTACACCAGCTGCGTGTCAAAGTGTGTATGCACAGGCATTCTCCAGGGACAACTAGCAGCGGCACAAGGTGTCCTGCTGCTAGTTGTTCCTAGGGAACCAAATGTCCATGCTTGTGTGGATGACGACTTCTTGTTTGCTTGCTTGGGGTTCTTCTGGTAGGTTTTTGAGAAGAAAGGAAGTACATCATTCACACAACATCAGTGACAAAGTGAATTATCAAAGACAATACTTAATAGGCTGCTGTAAAAGGACAATACTTAGTATTGTCTTTGATAATACTGCTTGTCTCCCTACTGCTAGTAGGGAGAAAAAGCATATTTTTCAAACAAAAATCTTCACTGAGTTCAGTGTGCATTTCTCTTGAATAAAAACAGCAGGAAATGGGCTATTATTAAAGGTGAAGGCACTTTGCTCTGCATGCATCCTGTCATATTACGGTCAACTCAGAGGAACTATGGTAGAGTGGCAGAGGAAGATAGCTACATACCAAGCCCAAATAAAAGGAGCAATGAATGCAAGTTTGTCAAGGAGGAACTAATCACTATAGTTATCAGAGAGAAGGTCGCATTGGTTCTGATATTAAGAGAATGGTCAAATATTTGTTAAATACATTTATTCACCCACTTCTGCCAGATTCTGACACTTCCACACCAGCCATTCTACCTCACAGAATAAGGAGCTAATAACCAGCATGGTGACTGACTGACTCTGAATGATTATTCAGAAATTGAAACACAGTGGACAGTTTCATTTCATACCAGTGTCATTCTCTTACCTGATGCGCCCACCAGACCATTAAATAAGAAAATATTGCTATCCAACTGATTGATCCAAAAAATGTAACAGGAAAAAATTTCCTGGATGACTGAAAAGGAAATAAACAGATGAAGTCAGCATCCATGTTAAATACAGTCTCTAAACAAATTTAAAACAAAACCCTCACAGTGATCAAGGTAAGGCTGACTACCTCATCTACGCATGATCACAAATGCTGTGACACTGATTTCTGCACAGAAGCAAATTTTCTACTGACTTCAATTGGAAAAAGCCTACAAGATTGTTTTATGAAACCACAGCAGTGACACTTATTTATACTGAACTGTAAATATTGGCTTGTCATTCATTCAATATTCCCTTTGGCCCCAATTACTTCAAGTGCTTTGCTGAAGCTTTAGCTTCTAATTTGTGAAATAATGCTTATTCACAAAGTATCAGACAGAAAGTGGAAAGAAGTTGCACCAAGGAAGATACATTTTTACATGTATACACACATTCCTTTAATAAGATTAGTAACAAGATACATATATCAGGTTGCTTTTAGTCCAATTAACTATACATTAAGAATGTATTTTAGCACACCATTTTCACAGCTGGTATGATAAAGAGTGTTTCAAGATCTAGAATTTAAAAAAATGTACATTCTAAAGTTCTAAGTGAATCATGTTTTCTTAGAATACTAACCTTTAATTAGCGTTTAGAAATCCTTTAAAAATGTGTTCATTGGTTATTGTGAAACCCCTCCCCTTTGTTCTGTGTAGAGGTTTGTTATAAAAGAAAAGTAAATTTGCTCAAATGTTAATCTCTTTGAAGCCTATTAATGAATATCAACACCTATATTACAGCAAAGCAGCCTCATTTTCATGTTTTTTTCTCCTTTACTAATGTCAAACTCTGAATATATAACATTCTCACCACCAATTAATGGGTCATGTTAAAATTTGTAAGTTATTTTGGCCGCTGTTTTTTTCAACCTCATTCATAATCCACATTTTATTTTAGCAAGCTGTGCATGCTTAAAAGAGAGAGCTCAAGCTAAGTGGTTTGGCAGAGGACTCTTGATCATAACACTGTCCTGGGTAAACACAATGTCAATTTAATTACTGTTTGAAACAAAAGGAAGATGCTTCCCATCTTTAAAGAGTCATTTTTCTTTACAATCATTCATTTTTTAGGCTATTCTCATATCAGGTCATACAAAATGAAACAATGAGTGATAATATATCACTGTGGTAATGCATCACTCCCCACTTTATGTATTGGTTCCATTGCTTATTGTTGTTGTTCTTGACTCCATAATACTTCTGCCCATTAAATAGTCATCAACTTCTCTTTGCATTTTTGTCCACATGGACCACAAGAATGGGGCTTTTTCTCCAGCTGGCAAAACTATCCAAAACTAGCTTCCTCAGCTGGTGCATTCAAATCAAAACATGAGATCCAAGGTGATCTTGCAGAACTGGCCACCAAACTCTCAGATTTACATGTAAACTGTTTGATTTCTGCAGCCTCTTTCTCTCTCTCTGTTCCTTCTTTGAAAAGCAGTTCTCAGAAGTATGGTCCAAATTATAAAGTATTTTCCACTTCGTTCCATTTTAGATATAGGTCTGCCATTCCTATGTGCTTCAGAGGAACAAGAGAGGAGGAAACACTGTGTGTTTCCTCCTCTGAGAGGCATCAGTAAATCCTGCAGGGAGAGAATTAGCTCTGGAAACATTCTGAACACCCCACTACTTTCCCTGAACTCAACTCAAATAAGAGTTGGAAAGCAAGTACCATCTGAACATTGCTAATTTAGCATTTAAAGTCATTCTAAAGCCTTCTTTTCAAGGGCAGTCACAGAAATGCCTGCCAGCTTTTCTGTATATTAAGCAGAATGGGCATGCGTTGGGGGTAGCAAAATAGTCAAGGATTGTTTTATATGGATAAATGCTAGCTAACAGGAGTGAGTAGGATATCCAAACCACCAGAACTGGTTCAATAAAAATATGAATATTTTGTAAATGTTTTAAACCCTCAGTACCTGATACAAAGTTCATTGAGGGACACAGGGGTGTATCCATTTATTTCAGTGGGCAACAGACCAAGAAAAAAGGAAAAGCTTAGTGATGGAAAGTGAAGGAAGTAGCTTTTTATATTCTCCCTGCTCATGAAAGAAGAATTAAAAATCCACATCTATTTTTAGCTGTTCAGATGGCTAAAGACCAAGTTGCAAAACTCAGCTTGGTCAGCATTTATTATAATGTGAGAAGTCCCATTGAAATTTGTGTTAGTAAATTAATACTAAGGCTAGGTACAGACATTCAAAAAGCCCGAGGTGGAATCAATCTAAGTTACGTGTTTTTTTGTAAGTGGCATAGATCAGTAGCGAACAGAACACACAATCACCTGTTGCAGAAGAGGAGCAAATCTTAGATCAGGTTCCACCATTTTTAAACCAGTCTATGGGTGCTGAACTTCTGTTCTGTTATGGGTATAGGCTGGGTTTGTGTGCTGAACTTTTTATCTTATACTGGTAAAAATGTAACGTTGACCTTTTTATCTTATACTGGTAAAAATGTAACGTCTGTACCTGACCTATGGCAAAGAGGGATTCCGTAATGTGAGCTTATTTAGATAATTATCAAGAAGTAAAAAAAAAAATAAAAAAATGTATTATCTATCACAAGACACATTAAAGACTGAGTAGGTTTAATTATATTCATGAAGTGTCCATTGAAATATATAATTTTAAGTGGCTACATTTAGTTAGAGGGGGAAAATTTTTGCAGTTTCTGAGAGGATATTCTTTTAAATTAATGGTGTCTAACACTGATGAAAATAGCACTTGGCATATAAATTCTGTTACCATGAGGAACACTACTTAAAAAAAAAAAAAGCAATATGCTATTTTGTTTGATATACTTCAAATATCTGTTTATATAGCAATAAGAAATAATTTACTCTATATTGAAGAAATCAATCAGCCACCTACTATATAAGTAATTTTTTAACAAGAATTTGTGGGAAATACAGTATTTCCACATGCAGGAGTCATATGTGCCTGCTTTAAACAGGAAAACCCCAACCCATATAACAACCTCTTCCCAGACCAAAATGTAGGTAGAGAGGTGGTGATTTGATAATGGTTTATTTATTTTTCAAAATAATTATATTCAATTCCTTGTCAGTATTTTTAGAGCCAGATTTTCAAAAAAATTAAATAATTTTCTTTTCATGTGTAAATGTTTTGCTTCTCTCTTTACCAGGTAAAGGAACTAGATGATGAGCCAATATATGTATTTTTGGCAGTGAGCTTTAAAATGCTAAATATGACAGCCAATCAGAGCAGTGGAATTTGCATATTCAACGTACAGTTGTCAAGCAGTAACCCTACTGTACACTATGCAGATCCTATGGCTGTTGTGACAGCTGAAAATGATGTCTGTGTGATAAAAGTGCTTGGTGAAGGCTCTATAAAGATTAGACCAAGTGTTTTTCTGTCATTTGTTTAGCTATTAAGATATATGTTGTTGCTAAGAGCCTAATTAAAGTTTAAGATGTAGTAAGGCCTTGTATACAGCAAGGCCTAGTAAATTTAGCAAAGCCTTGAAGTAGTAAGGCCCTGTGGCATAGTTAAAATTAACCTTATCAAAAGGAATGCAATGCTTGTACTGCTATTGGTCAGTCTAAGAACACATGAAGTAAGAAGAATCTGAGTAGCTGTAAGTTATCAGTACCGTTCAGAAGCTATAAATTGGCTAAACACCCAGAAATCATTCAGAAGGAAGATACAGCTCAGTGAAAAGGATTATTTAGCTGTTGACCTGGATCAGTGGGCCCATTGATCTCGAGGAGCCCAAGGACTGAATACCAGAGTCCTTCCCGGTGCCTCTCGGACAGCGCTGATCGGGGACGCCTGACTTCGCTGAGCTTTGTGGAAAGAGAAACTCGTTGTACATGAGGCATCAGAGGGGACTGCCGATAAGTTGCCGACACAAATTATTCTTGTCTGTCATTGTTCGTCTTGTTACTACGCGTAGTTGTGTTTTTGTTAAGTCAATACACCTTTCTTACCTTTCTACCCCCGACCATACTCTCAATCCTGAACCCTCCGCAGGTGGCTGGGACAGGCTGTCATTCAACCAGAATGGTTCACACCATATGGTTCTTGTAAAATAACCAGACAGTGCCTATCCAAATCAGATGCCCACAAGGAAGCAGAACATGGGGAACTGTACAGCTGAGAATTATGACTCAGTAAAGGTGCAGGATACATGTACCCTGATGGTCTGAGCCAATTCCATGTCAGTATAATTAACTGATAAGAATTAGTTCAAGGTGAGGAGCATTTTAACAGACTTTCCAGATTAATTATCTATTTTAAAGTAGAAAACATTATTACTCAAACAATGCAAAATGTAAAGCCTGTGCCAATTATAGAAGCTGAAATCATGACAGAAATCCAATAAATACAGTCATATAATGTGCATATAAAAGGTTTAGTAAAAACAGTGGGTGTACTGTTTTTTCTGAAGCTGGATTTGTACTTCAAAAAAATCCTGCTTAGCTTGTAATTATTGTCAAAGTTTTTCATGTTCACTGCTGCAAGTAATTTGCAAGCTCTTGGGAACATGCAGAGCTGTCAGTTCTGAAAATTTCCCCGAAAAAAATGAATTAGAGCTATCAGACATGAGCTTTTCCAACTTCTTTCCAGTGCACCATTGCAGCTGTTGTAATGGCTGCTGTACAAAGATGCTAGCACTTAGTTTATTACAAATTGGTACCACTGTGGTCATGGTAACAGAACAAATTCAAGAAGCACAGTGGGTACACTAATTATGTCTTTTCCACTTAGCAATGTCAATTTGAACAGAGATCTGTTGGAATGTGCTGCTGTATAGCACAGTGCCTTAATTATTCAAGGCTATTTCTCCAAGACCACATCAGTACTGCATACCTGAAAGTATTGTTTTTTAAATAAAAAGTTTAAAATAAATGGGAATTGTGATCAAAGGATGTTTTCAGAATATGGAGTGTTTCTGAGGTTAATGATCTGGTAAACAAAATATTTTTGTATATTTAGATCAAATATAAATCAACTATATT